AAATAGATTCAAGAGAATAAACTCTAGCACTTGGCTGAGGCACGGCATGAGAATGACACTGAATTAAGGGAAAATGTTCTATCTTTTTGAGGCACAGACACAAAAGTGAGAATACGTTTTCTCCAGGTCTGTTTTGAATGCAGCAGCTCCTGTCTCTTGTACAAGTCTCCTAGTTTTGCTAAAATATACAGCAGCGTGGGCTGCTCTTCATTCTGGTGCTAGGCTGTCACTTCTCTGATACATATCACAGAGGCCTGATTAAAAGGAAAACAATAACAGAGGGAGAGTGAAAGAATGTCGGCTGTACTTGAAATGTGGCATGTGCTGAGCTTCACAAGGAGCAGGACACAGTGTCAAAACACTCCGATGCTCTGAGGCTGCGTAACGCTGGCAGCTGTGGTAAGAAACGTCCTTATTCTGCTCTGATCTGGAGGCAGCAGTGTTCTACCCCGTACTGCTGGACCAACACAAAACCACTGCTGATTAAACTGTGCATCATGTACAGGGAAGAGATGAGGAAAAGTCCTAAACTGGCTGGTTTCTTTTAGGTAATTCCATAAATTATAAACTTGACACCATCCATATAACGCATGAGCAGAAAGCTTCAGAGAACAACAATTACTGTAGCAGAATTTGGGAAAAAGGGCCCCCACTGACCAAATGCCACTACACAGACACAAGGGCAAAACCACACTAAAAAGGAAAAACCTTTTGCATATAGTAAACTACACCTTTCAGCACCAGTTATAGAACATGCAGAAGCCCAGAAACTCTGTGCTGTTGAGGTGACACTACCATCCTCCAGCTGTGAACCAAGGAGAAATTATCACATCGTCAAGCTACCTGAGATCTTTCATCACCTCTGAGCCACTGAGTATATCAAACAGCAAGATAAAATCAGACGGCTTTTGAAAGAGATTGCATAAGCAGCAATAAAGCAAAGCTGGCGAAAGCACAGTGCAAAGGCCAGGGCTGAGGGTTTGTCAGAAAATGTTAAATAATCCTTAATTTAACATTGAAAAGATCAGAAGTTAAGAGGTGTTGTAGAAGAATCGTACACATGGAGATGGACAGCAGAAACCAGCAGCAACATACAATCAACTTCCAAACCCAGGTGACCTTTGGAAAGTAAGGAGGGCTCTGCCCCCCCATTGCCCAGAGCCTTTTCTGAAGGTGCTGAGGAACGGACAGCAGACATGGAAGGAGAGCTCCTCAGATGTGCCTTGTTCCCTGCACCTGGGGTGTAGGGGGAGGTGGCAACATTTCACAAATGCCTTACAGTCACTAGAGGGTCAGTGGCCAAACAGAGAGGACAGGAGGCAATGA